GTCATTCCCTCCATTACTATTTGCGCAAGGTCCATCTGATTGTTAATAATGATTGTCACTTCTTGGTGATTTACCTCCATTGTGAAGGTTAGAGCATGATTCTGAAGGCCTATCTCTATCCAAGATGATGGTTCTGTCATTGCATGGGGTGTTTGAGAAGTGTATATTATTGTGTTGGGTTCCATGATGAGATATGAAGGAGGGAGCGAGTATGGATTTTGAAGATGGTTGAGACGATGAACAGTATGCCTATTGGTAGTATTGGAGTTGCTGCGTAAGTGATTGAAGTTGTTTGGAAACATCTTGTGTATTTGAAGGAGGTGATAAGGAATGATGAATGAGTGGTATAGAAATTGGGACTTGATTTAACAAGGAAGATGTATCAGTGGTGGAAGAGGACTGTGGAGTATTATGAATGAGTTTGTGGGTTTTGCGATTAGGCCGTAGGGATAAGTTGGTCTACTAGGGGGTTATTGTTAATTGAAGGACTGACTTGATTAGGAGTTAAAAACTCATCCTTTTCATTATTTAATGAAGTACCAAATTTATTATTAGTTAAAAGAGCTGATGTGACAGCTTTATTATTAGTTCAAAAACAGATGATGTGGGGCTTTAGTAGTAATATTATTTTGTGGAGGATTAGTGGTGTTAATGGACAGATTATTAAACAACAGTTTGTTAGGGTTTTTGAGTGCGTCTATTCGATTCACGTACTTACCTGATGATGGAGAAGCTGAAGAAGGAGAAACTATCGTGGGTTGGTTAAAGTTTGATTTGGTTGCAGTTGTGTTCGTCATGGATTTCCTTGGAAATTGTACAAGCTTCCATTCATCATTAGTTGGAGTGGGGGAATTCAAAGAAGGGCTATCTGTATGGTTTTGAGTTAGGGACTGTTTTAACGGAATGAAATCTGTGGGAGAATTTGGTGGGGGTTTATAAGAACATGCCCTTTGATGGCCAAGTCGACCACAGTTAACACAGAGCATATTTAATCCTTCGTAAATGATAGTTTGGTTATGGCTGCCTATAAAGAGATGAGTTTTTAATGGTTGATCCAAAGGTACCTCAACACAGAGCCTTGTGTATCTACCTCGTGTTGTTGTAGAGGTGCAGGCATCAACTGTAAGTAATTTTCCTATTTTATTTCCCAGTTTTTGCAGTATCTGAATATCGTAAAATTCGATAGGTAATTCGGGGAGACGCAACCATATGGCTGAAGATGTGATCTTCTTTTCGGAAGCCATAAATTTTTGTACCCATTGACGGACGGAGAGAAAATGGTTCAAAACGAACCAAGGTCCATCCTGCCAAGCATGAAGTTTATTTTCCTCCTTTTGGAATTTGAGAAGGAAGAAATCAGATCCAAGATCGATTAGTGAAAGATTTTCAGTTGGTTTCCATTGTGCATAAATTTTTTGCCGAAGAAGTTGGTGTTCAACCTTTCGACCCAAAACCTTGATAATGACAGCATGTTTCCATGGAGCATAAAGCCTGAATTTTCTTTGAGCGATAGTGGAATGAAGTTGGAAGGATCAGTAGGTGCCTCTGTTTCATCGAAGATATCTAGGCTAAGGTTTAGTGAGGAAGTGTTGTTGGTATGGGAAGGGATACTATTGTGGGAGAGAAGGGAGATAAGATTTAGGAGTGGAATCTCCTGTGGCAGGGAAACGGGGGAATCGATGTTCATGGTACCTGCAGTGGTATCAAGTGGTTTGGGTGGTATTGAAGATGAAGGTTCATATGGTTGAAGGTTCATAGTGGAGAGCTTTATTTTTTTTTAATTTTTTATTTTTTTTTAATTTAACAGTATATATCTATGTCTACTTCTAAAGTTTAGAGCTGCCGGTATCAAACTATTTAAAATTTATCAATGTTTATATTTTTATATCATAAATTGCAATTATATATTATGCCAATTGATTTTTATAAATATTCTCTAGGATTAATGATGGATATCATAAGCTATAATTATTGTATATGGTAATTCATTTTTTACTTGAAATTTTTTTGTACAAAAGTTGTAGTAGATTTACCTTATGTCAACAAAAACTTCATTTTTTTCAAGAACAAAATCATTTACAGGAAAAGATTTGTCGAATCATCTTCTTGTAATACTTTTTACGATGGTTAACTTGGAAATTTCTATTCTGGAAGCTCTTAATATAGCGATTGTGTCAAGTACTATTTAGTTTAATAAAACACTTGCACAATATTTTGTGAAGTAGTTAATTTGGTTTAATCAAGTTGAAGAATAATAATTTGCAAGCGACATATTTTATTTTTCTGGTCATATTCTTTGTTTATTTTCTATGACGGAGTTAAATTTATTTGAAGGTTATTTTATTTTTTCAAAAAGTTTCCAAAGGTCTGTGAAGAATAAAGAAGGGAGAAAGTAAATAAAAATATAAACCAATGTTTACTTTACAATTACTAACGTGTATATATTAACTAAGCCTACTTTCTAAATAACTCAAACGTAAATGAGGTAAATGGAGCACACAAAAGGTACCTTATAGCTGATATGCGGCTGATAATTCCATTTCCATAGCTAATTTTTTGTACACAACTTGCTCATTAGTATTTATATCTACTAATATATAGAAGAGCCTTGGAAGCAGCTGGGCGTTGTTTTGCCAGCTTGTCGACCAAGGCCTCTTCCTGTCATTTCATGTGTAACTTTATTAAGTCATTAATCATTTAAATGTTGTTGTGAGTTTTGATTGGTCCAATAAGTTCATAACTGCACTAACTTTAGTAAATTTTGACTGCGGAGACTTTTTAGCCCTATAAGGCAACCTTGTATGTTTTTGGTGGGTCCATCTTTCATTATGATTGCGGCTGGCAATTCTATTTCCATAGCTAACTTTTTGTGTACAACTTGACCATTAGTATTTATATTTGTGAGAAAAGCAGCTAGGCGTTATCTTCCCAGCTTGCCGACCAAGGCCCTTTTTGGTCATTTCATGTAGCATAATTTTTATACGTGTCTGCATCTACAAAACTCTGCACGTGAAATCTGGTTGCAAGTTGAGGATGAGAAGGACAAGGCCACCTCTTTTTGGTAGGTCCATCTTTCATTATGATTGCGGCTGACAATTCCATTTTCATAGCTAACTTTTTGCATACAACTTGCCCATTAGTATTTATATTTGTGAGCCTTGGAAGCAGCTGAGCGTTGTCTTGCCAGCTTGCCGATTAAGGCCTCTTCCTATCATTTCATGTGTAACTTTATTAAGTCATTAATCATTTAAATATTGTTGTCCAATAAGTTCATAAGTACACTAACTTTAGTAAATTTTGACTGCAGAGACTTTTTAGCCCTTTGAGGCAACCTTGTATGTTTTTTGTGGGTCCATCTTTCGTTATGATTGCGGCTGACAATTCCATTTCCATAGCTAACTTTTTGTATACAACTTTCCCATTAGTATTTTTATTTGTGAGATATATAGAAGAGCCTTGGAAGCAGCTGGGCGTTGTCTTGCCAGCTTGCCGACCAAGGCCTCTTCCTGTCATTTCATGTGTAACTTTATTAAGTCATTAATCATTTAAATGTTGTTGTGAGTTTTGATTGGTCCAATAAGTTCATAACTACACTAACTTTAGTAAATTTTGACTGCGGAGACTTTTTATCCCTTTGAGGTAACCTTGTATATTTTTGGTGGATCCAACTTTCATTATGATTGCGGCTGATAATTCCATTTCCATAGCTAATTTTTTGTACACAACTTGCTCATTAGTATTTATATTTGTGACAAAAGCAGCTGGGCGTTGTCTTCCCAGCTTGCCGACCAAGGCCCTTTTTGGTCATTTCATGTAGCACAATTTTTATACGTGTCTGCATCTACAAAGCCCTGCACGTGAAATCTGGTTGCAATTTGAGGATGAGAAGGACAAGGCCACCTCTTTTTGGTGGCTCCATCTTTCATTATGATTGCGGCTGACAATTCCATTTTCATAGCTAGCTTTTTGTATAAAACTTGCCCATTAGTATTTATATTTGTGAGCCTTGGAAACAGCTGGGCGTTGTCTTGCCAGCTTGCCGACCAAGGCCTCTTCCTGTCATTTCATGTGTAACTTTATTAAGTCATTAATCATTTAAATGTTCTTGTGAGTTTTGATTGGTCCAATAAGTTTATAACTACACTAACTTTAGTATATTTTGACTGCGGAGACTTTTTAGCCCTTTGAGGCAACCTTGTATGTTTTTGG